ACTTGAGAAGTGATCAAATTTGACAAACTTCAGAATTACATTCATTCACAAACTTAAAGTCTTGGAAGCGTAAATACTGCCAGTCATGTCTTGCTTCAGGCAAAAAGATGGTCTTTTGGTGATCCAAGCGATTAGCCAAAGCGACCCAGAGTGCTCGTGGATCATCCTCAGCAAAGTACTCGGTTTGCAGTGCATCATGAATATATCTTCGGATGAAGATCATGGCAGTGGCTTTCTCAGCTTCGCCAATCGAGTTGTCTGCCTCATCTTCAATGGCGGGACACAAATGCTTTACGGTGAGGTGGAGCTTCACATCTTGGACCCACTTGAGGTAGTTTCTTCCAAAGACCTCTAAAGCAGTGAAGTCGAATTTGTTCAAATTCGACATGTTCCTATCATAAAATAAATGGACAAGATGTGGTTAGTGTAATGGAGAAAAAAAATCAATCCATTCACATAGGAGTAAAACATTCAGGTTCTAATAGACATGTATTGGTTTAAATTTGCATGAAAAAAAACTTTGGGTTTTCATGGGTGATGTTTTTAAGGAAAACTTCAGGTTTTCGAACAAGGCATGTTTCTAGAAACTTCAAGTTTCGAAATAATTATGGACTTCAGGTTTATATGTTCCTGCAGACAAACATACATATATATATAGAAATATGCAACAAGAAAATATGCAAATAGAACTTCAGGTCTAGAATTATAATTGAATTAATTATTTGGACTTCGGCCCAAATTTAAAGTTTGGGTGAAAACAATTATAAAATCCAAATTATTAAGCTCGGGGCCCAAAAAAACATGGACCAAAGCACACGGGTGGGTTGAGCAAATTTGTACCATGGTCTAGGCCCAAAAATTTGGCTTAGATAGACATGGGTTGATCAGGCCCCAAACAGAATTTGGGCTGCAAGCCTGGTAGCAGCAAACGGGTTGCAAGAACAGGGTCCAAAAACAGAGGCCCAAATGGGCGCTGCTCAGATGCATTGTAGTCCAGGTGCACCGATGCACTAGCATGGTGCTAGGATCAGGTGCATATGGGGCGCAGGGACACCATAGCCTTATGGGTTGATGTCGTGCATTGGTCGAGTTGTGAACTTGGGCCTCATTAGGCGAGCCGAGTCTGAACAAATTTTCATTGCAAGCCGAGAAGGCCAACCTAATTGGACTTGGTTTCAGCCAAAAGAACACCCCAACATCGTTAGGTGTGGTCACTGAGGATGAAAGCCAGCGTCGCTGCTTTAGACGGCTGTGTTCTGGTCAAAAGTACTCGGTACAAGTCAAGGGTTTGACATGGAATTCGATGATGTGACGGAGAAAAAAGAAAAGGGGAAATCTCAATGTCCATAAACCAAAAACCCTCATATTCGAATTTGGGGTTTTCATATCCATGGAGATTCATACGAATCACGACCAAAATCAAAGTCGGCAATGACTGCAGGTCATTGAGGATGGCAGGGCATGGCTGCAAGCCATGCGTGGGATGCCGTGAAAGGCGTTAGAGTTTGGTAGGTGGACAACGTCGAAACAACGTCGTGGGTCTAGGTTCCAAAGGCGTGGAGCTTCTGGCTCCGATGTAGGCTCGGGTCATGGGTTCGAAGAACCTTAAAAATTTACGATTTTTTTCCTTTCAATTAATTCAATGCATATTTAATTAAATAATTTAATGAATGAACATATATTTGATGCAATTCATGGCAAATATCAATTCACATAATTCAACAATTATGGATATAATGCATACATAATTTATGTAGAATCTAAAATTTGAAAAACGTAAAATTAGGTCATGCATTATGGTGAATGTTCATGCTATTAGGGCTGCAAAAATATCGAGATAAAAATCGTTGTTTTGAAAGAACCTGATTGTGTGATGATATTGATGAACTGGTTTAATGCAAAAAACTTTCACGTCAGATTCCTAAGTGCAGCAATAGGAGCGTGCCGATAACGTTATGGCCTATATTTAACTGACAAGGGAAAAGGGGTCGGTAGCACAGAGAAAATAGAGAGAGAGAGAGAGAGAGAGAGAGAGAGATGTGTGTGTAGGGTTGTGTAGATGATGTGTTATTCCCCCTAGGCAGTGCCTTTACTTATAGTAATAAGGGAAAGAAGAAATCATTTTCCTTCAAGGAATACAAGTCCTAATAGGAAAGAATAACTAGAATCAAATCTAATCTAGGATTTACACAATCACATTTAAATAAGAAGTTTATAACTATATGTATAAAGACAATAACAAACAGAAATTAGAATCACATGGTCATTTGGTAAAAGACAAGCAAGTAAAGAAAGAATAGGCGAAACAAAAGGTGACAAGAGTAACTAGTAGTATAAAAGTCAGTACGCATACACTATGCAGTTCAACTTCGTACTCGCTCGTCAATGTGGAAGGGAATGACATAGTTCTTGATGAGTATAGTAGAAGCAATGAGATATAACTCTAGTTGCATGATATTTTCTCTACCGGTTCTTAAGTTGATGAATTTAGGCGATGAAACAGCCTTCCATCATCCTATTCACAGCTCAGAGTTTCTTCAAAAGAGTATTTCGAGATGCTTTAATGCCGGTTAAATAAAGGTCGTTGAAGCATTTGAAAGGTCGCCTGGAGCTCTTGCAGGTGAGCGAACACTTATACCTTATTAAAGTCTAAATGGTATCTTGATTATTGTCCTTCAAACTTACTGAACCCCAAAGCATTAAACCTTTACTTGATGCCATATCCGGATCTCCGATGCTCCGAACATGAACCTCAAAGTTGGAGCGGTTAACCTAGGTCTTGGACTCGATCCCTTGAACGGTTGATCTAAATCTTGGACTCGAGTCCTAAAACTCTAGGTCCGGAGCCCCATACCTAGATCCTGAATTCTAGAACTTAAGCATCACTAAGACCTTTAAGGCATGATCCCTAATATTATTCAAGTTTGATTTGAAACTTGATTCTAGTTTTCAACCAAGTCACATATATATATATATATATATATATATATATATATATATGAACGATTGCATAATACTCCTCATGATGTCATCTCCGATTTTCATTCTACTACAATAACCAAACACCCGTTAGGATTAGTTCAACTAATGTGATATTTTGAGGAATATACATTATACAATGTTGATGTTTGAGAAAATCAAAGTCATATACCTATATTTGTTAAAAAAGAAGAAGTCATATACCTATATATATTAAACATGGAGAAAAATTATGAGTCATACTCGATATTAAACTTCATTGATTCAAGTTATCTATTTTTTAAATGATATAAATATTTTAAGTTATATAAAAAATCAAAAATCAAAAAATCAAAAGGATTTGAACACGAAACGCAGGCTATAATCGCCTACGAACAACTGTACAGTACGATGAGATGAATTTCACTAACTATTTTATTATAAGGATGCTAATTAAGATATTTTCGTTACTAATCACGTTGTAATCTCATTATTATATATCACAAAGAATTGAGAATGCTTGCCAACTTCCGCACAAATTATGGTAACTGGGTACCCTCTTCGCTGTCTTCCAATGATTAAGGGGAAGGTCACCGCTGATAGTAACCTAACAGAATATTCTCACGAGCTCAGTAATCGTTAATCGCGTGGATCCAATATCCTAACATTTTCCCACCAAGACAAGAAATAGCGTTTCATGTTATAAAATAAATAACAGACAGGAATGAGTATTTACTGTATTAATTTATCTGTTCCTCAAAGAAAAGTTAATTATCGAGTACAACACTGCCTAGAATTTGTCAACAAAATACAGCAGTTTTCCGATGTCAAAATTTACGGTCGCTGGAACATGGACTTGACACCCTCTGGCATAATGTAGCCCTACGCAAGGGCCAAACACCCTCGTATAGGAAGAGAGACTCTTTTTTGGGTTAACCAGAAATACTTATACAACATGACATGCGTAGTTATAGCGTTGTGTCAATTATATTTTATATATACGTTTTTCTTCATATAATATTATATTATTAACAAGATGACGATAAAATTCAATATTATATTATTAACCAGAAAGACTGATACGACATGAATGCTTAAGTGTAGTAGCCTATTGCCCCTCAGTACTATAGTCTGATGGTATTCCTTTTCACTTGGAAGTGAGAGGTCGTATGTTCGAATGATGACGAATTCAATACCAAATTAGACTGTATATTATGTGATTTTACCGAACTCTCCTTCTCCTTATGTAAAAATATCAATGTACTAAAAAAAAGAGTGTAGTAGCCAATTCACGTATCCATTTGTAAATACCACGCCACTCTCAGATCACACCCCCTTGTGTCAAGTGCGTATTTGTTGAATTTTTATACCACAGATCACACCCCTCAGTGGCAAGTGCCCATTTGTTGAATTTTTATACCACGTCACTCTCGAATATCACCCATTTGTGTCAAGTGCTGTATATATTTGAATTTTTTTTAGTACAAACAACCAAACTATGCAACCGATGGGCCGGAAGTGGGTTGACCGGGCTACTCTCAAATTCAAGGGGCTTGGTGGGTTATTTTGTGTCTAAGGCCGGACGGTTACGTATTTGGTGGTCCCAACTCAAGAACTTATCCTTATACAAGCATCTAGACAAAAGAATTTCTTTGAAATGTAGTTCCGTAAGATTAATAAACTTGTCCAAATCCAACGGTCACCATGACCCATCCTACAATAACATATAATAGACGCGAAGCATGGGATGGTGGAGGTGGTCATATCTGAGCCTCCGCACATTCGCCGAACCCAACCGCGGCATGAACCGATGGAATTCGTCCGAGTTTTGACTAAGCATCCATTCTCGACAATCACAAGAAACTAAAATATTAATAATTAATATCAAATAAAAATGATATGTAAGACAAAATACAGTTGGAGGGGGACGACTCTCTCTCTCTCTCTCGCTCTCTCGCTCTCTTTTCTTATTTGTCCTGCTACGATTTTGTTAGTCTATATAATGCTGACCTACTTCCAAGGGCAGAATTGAATTATCTCTCTCTCTCTCTCTCTCTCTCTCTCTCTCTCTTCACATTTTCTCAAACTTCACCAAAAACCAAGAAGCAAAGTGTGAAGAGTTTTGACAAGACAAAGAATAAAAACAAAAATCCATTCGTTTATTGATCATCAAATTTTCAACTTGGTCAGTCCAAGCAACTTTGAACATAGGAGGTCAATCGGTTTTCTGAAACTGGGTTCGTCTGACTTGGTTGTGTTTGTCTAACCCAATCATTGAAATCTCGAGTTTCGAGTGATTTGGTCGTTTTCGGGAGTTAAAAAATGGCGGCGGCGTTAGCCGGAGATGATCTGGTCAGGCAGTCGAGTCTGGCCAGGCAGTCGAGCAGCCGGCGGAGCTGGCGGTCGACTAGTGTTCGGGAAATGTGGAACGCACCGGACGTGTTCCAGAGGAGAGGGCGGCAGCAGGCGGAGGATGATGAGGAGGAGCTCAAGTGGGCGGCCATAGAAAGGTTGCCCACATATGATAGGATGAGGAGGGGGATGCTGAGGCAGGCCATGAGCAATGGGAGGTTTGTAACTGAAGAAGTCGACGTCGCGAATCTTGGGGCACAAGACAAGAAGCAGTTGATGGAGAGCATACTTAAGGTTGTGGAGGATGACAATGAAAGGTTCTTGCAAAGGCTCAGGGCCAGAAATGACAGGTTTGTGTTCTGTGTAGTTTGTTTGGTTGATGAGAAAATCAATAGGAAAAAAAATAAAGTTGGATTTAAATTTTGGGGAAAAGGAAAAGAACTATGGTTTCGATCTGAAACTTCTATTATTTTGATACAACAATATATTAACATTGTGGGAGAGTAAATTGATATCAAACTCGTCATCCATGAGATTTGAACCTATGTGCCAATATCTGAACATTTTTTAGTTGGTGTTTGAGAAAACATAAACTCTGACTTAAATGTGTGACTGATTTGGCAATTGGGTTCCGTGGAAATGGAGTTTTAAAGCTTTACAATCATTAAACATAATTTTTATTTTCCTTGGTTTTTGCTAAATTTGTGTTTGGTTTGGAATTTTGGATTATTTTTGTAAATGTGTTTCTTGAATTTGGAAACAGGGTTGGTATTGAGGTTCCTAAGGTTGAGGTTAGATTCCAGAATATATCAATTGAGGGAGATGCATATGTCGGTACCAGAGCACTTCCAACTCTGCTCAATTCCACGTTGAACCAGCTTGAGGTATCGTCTCAAAGTCTTTTAATACCGAGCCTTACTTCTTAGTATAACGCTTTGCTAGCGGATCTTAGATTTCTAAATTTGTATACTCGTGAACAGGGACTAGCTGGATTGATTGGACTCTCACAATCGAAGAAAAGAGTTGTCAAGATACTCCAAGATGTGAGCGGTGTTATTAAACCGTCAAGGTACGCTCATGTTTTGCATATCTAACATCTTTACTGGACTGGTGTAAGTTTTATTTCATCAATGAAAGAAAAACTAGTCAATCATAAAAAACAAACTCATGTTCCTGTGAGAAGAAGACGGAAGCTATTCTTTTGGTATGCTTCTCAGGTGAAGTAGTTTTGTTTTTAAATTTCATCCCTAAGCTTATTGTTTTGTTTTACAGGATGACGCTGCTTCTTGGACCTCCGTCATCAGGAAAAACAACACTGCTAAAAGCACTTGCTGGCAAACTCGATAAGGATCTAAGGGTTTGTCATCTTCTCTATCTCCTTACATTTGACCAGAGTTATCCAATAGATTAATGCGGGGTACATGTATACATTTTCGAATGTACTGACAAATTGTGTTATAAACAGGTAACTGGGAACGTGACCTATTGTGGCCATGAATTCCATGAATTTGTGCCTCAGAGAACTTCTGCTTATATTAGCCAACATGATCTTCATTATGGTGAGATGACAGTTCGTGAAACATTGGATTTCTCTGGACGTTGCCTGGGAGTTGGAACCAGGTATGATTTGCTGGTAGAATTGTCTAGACGGGAGAAAGATTCAGGTATCAAACCGGATCCTGAAATTGATGCATTCATGAAAGCTACATCTATGGTTGGCCAGGAAACTAGTTTGATCACAGATTACGTTCTCAAGGTTTGTTGATTCAATCATAAGATTGTATTGTTGTTCTATCATTCTTATCGTACAAGGCTAACGTCTTTTACTTTTTCTGACAGATACTTGGACTTGATATCTGTGCTGACATTATGGTGGGTGATGACATGAGGAGGGGTATATCCGGTGGACAGAAGAAACGTGTAACTACTGGTATGTTACTGATGTCATTTGAGTTATTCCACGATGTTACGCTTTCTATTTGTGTTTGGACATGTTTAAGATTACGACTGTGTGATTTTTGCACGTTTAGTGTTTCTAATATTTTGTATAAACTTAGGCACCAATCTGGTTTCTGTCAACTGGCACTTTTACTTTTAAGAAACCATTGTTAGTCTTGCTTTGCATGATAGGAATGATAGTTAAGATACAAAACTATTACCTGGTATTATAATCTGCGATGTCTATTGTGAATGCAGGAGAAATGTTGGTTGGACCTGCGAAAGCATTTTTCATGGATGAAATATCAACGGGGCTGGATAGTTCCACAACCTTTCAGATTGTCAAGTTCATGAAGCAGATGGTTCATATTATGGAAGTGTCAATGGTGATCTCTCTCTTGCAGCCTGCACCTGAGACGTATGATCTGTTTGATGACATTATGCTTCTTTCTGAGGGTCAGATTGTGTACCACGGTCCACGTGAGAATGTGCTTGATTTCTTCAAATATATAGGCTTCAAATGCCCTGACAGAAAAGGTGTTGCAGACTTCTTGCAAGAAGTGACATCAAAGAAAGACCAAGAGCAATACTGGTATAAGAACCAACCTTACAGATATGTTTCAGTATCTGATTTCGTTCAAGCTTTCCCCACTTTTCATGTTGGCCAACGTCTTGTGGAAGACCTAAGAGTTCCTTACGATAAAAGATCAGTCCATCCTGCTGCTCTAGTGACGGATAAGTATGGAATATCCAATATGGAGCTCTTCAAGGCATGCTTTGCAAGGGAATGGTTGCTGATGAAGCGTAACTCTTTCGTGTACATATTCAAAACTACGCAGATAACAATCATGGCTACAATTGCTCTGACGGTATTCTTAAGAACAGAAATGAAAGCTGGAAAAGCAGAAGATTCGGCAAAATTCTGGGGAGCACTGTTTTTCAGTCTCATTAACGTCATGTTTAACGGAATGGCAGAGCTTGCAATGACAGTTTTTAGGATTCCTGTGTTCTTTAAACAAAGGGATGCGTTGTTTTATCCTGGCTGGGCTTTTGGCTTGCCCATTTCGCTAACCAGAATCCCCATTTCATTGATGGAATCTGGGATATGGATTCTTTTAACATACTACACAATCGGGTTTGCACCTGCGGCCAGTAGGTAAGCTTCAATCTTATCAGTCATAGCATTCTTGAAAGCTTCATTTTTGTGCTGCTAAATAAATTACGAAAGATATGCAATCGAGTTATTCTTTAATCTGACTTATGTATATGTGTTCAGGTTCTTCAAACAGTTTTTGGCTTTCTTCGGTGTACATCAGGTGGCACTTTCCCTTTTCCGTTTTATTGCTGCCCTTGGAAGAACAGAGGTTGTTGCGAGCACAATTGGTTCCTTTACATTGCTACTGGTGTTTGTCCTTGGAGGTTTTGTTGTCGCTAAAGGTTAGAAATCCTTCTTATTTCATTGTCAAAGTAAGCTAGGACATTTACAAATTTGATACCAGCACCGTACAGATTTCTAAATAATTGCATTGATGACTGATACCCCTTCCACGTGTTATCAAATGTTCACATGTCCCATTTCATTGTGCAGATGACATCAAGTCATGGATGATATGGGGCTACTATATTTCACCTATGATGTATGGGCAAAATGCAATTGCTATCAATGAGTTTCTTGATAAAAGATGGAGTCAAGTAAGTTCACTGAAGCGTATATATAATTCGCACCATATCTTAATAATAATTATAACAGTTTCATATCTAAATCGAACTGGTTGAGCTTAATAAAAGTTTTAATCCCTTTGCACAGCCTGTCCCCGGTGCCTCTGGAGACACAGTTGGAAAGGTACTTCTGAGAGAAAGAGGACTGTTTACTACGGAGACTTGGTATTGGACTTGTATTGGCGCGCTCTTCGGATTTACTGTTCTCTTCAATCTTCTCTTTATTGCAGCACTGACCTACTTAGATCGTAAGTCAATAATTTTATACTGTCATGAGGTATTGATACCGAAATGGCTCAAGTGCTGATTATCTGTCTTATTATTATCTCAATTTCAGCTCTAAGTGAAACCAAAACTCTAATTGAGAATGATGAAGACTCTGAAAGGAATAAGAAGCGACGATCCAATCCAGAAGGTAAAAATATAATTTCTTGTGGATCCTAACCTGGATGTTTGTTTCTAAAAGATGGCACATGCTTTACATCTCGAAAAGTGGCCTTGCTATCAAATTATTCTCTTCATCTAATAAATAACGATCAATAACAGGTATTGATATGCAAGTAAGAAATTCTCAAGGAAATAATCAAGCCAAACGAGGAATGATTTTACCCTTCCAGCCCCTCTCACTCGCTTTCAACCATGTGAATTACTATGTGGATATGCCTGCCGTAAGTACTTCTTTTCCTCCGAAGTTTGAAGTTCTAAACGAGTAAAGCCAGAATTTAATCATTTTCCAAAGTCATTTTGTTTAGGCTAACTTTCTTTGTGTCTTTACCAGGAAATGAAGAGCCAAGGGATTGAAGAGACCCGACTCCAACTTCTACGAGATGTCAGTGGTGCATTTAGGCCTGGTGTTTTGACTGCATTAGTTGGTGTCAGCGGTGCTGGAAAGACAACCTTGATGGATGTCTTAGCTGGAAGAAAGACCGGCGGGTACATTGAAGGAAGTATTACCATCTCTGGTTACCCAAAGAACCAAGCCACATTTGCTCGAGTCAGCGGTTACTGTGAACAAAATGATATTCATTCACCATTTGTTACTGTCTATGAGTCTCTCCTATACTCTGCCTGGCTGCGTCTTGCTAAAGATGTCAAGACCGAAACACGAAAGGTATTTTCCTGATTTTCCATTGATAAATACTTTTAGCAACTCTAGCATTTGTTCTCTTCATAAATTGTTCCATTCCCATAAACATATGCTGAGTCTCATTTATCCATTTTTTTTCCACTCTGCAGATGTTTGTTGATGAGGTTATGGATTTGGTTGAGCTTAACCCATTGAGAAATGCTTTGGTTGGACTTCCGGGAGTTGATGGACTTTCAACTGAGCAGAGAAAGAGGCTCACTATTGCTGTAGAATTGGTTGCCAACCCTTCCATCATCTTCATGGATGAGCCGACATCAGGTCTTGATGCTAGAGCAGCCGCCATTGTAATGCGTACTGTAAGAAACACTGTGGATACAGGACGAACTGTTGTTTGCACAATTCACCAGCCTAGCATTGACATTTTTGAAGCTTTTGATGAGGTACAAACTGATTTTTCAATCTGTGACCAGTATAATTTTTCATTATTTCTCATACAGTATTTCACCTTGATTTCATTTTGCCTTGCAGCTTTTCTTGATGAAAAGAGGTGGGCAGGTGATTTATGCCGGTCCTCTAGGTCGCCAGTCTCACAAACTTGTTGAATACTTTGAGGTAAGTTTCTACTTGAATCACCCCGGTCAATTTCCTGTAATCCAAAATGCATTTTACTCTGCGAGATTAATTGTTTGACTAATACAAAATATCTTGCAGGCTATTCCAGGGGTTGCAAAGATCAAAGAAGGTTACAATCCAGCTACCTGGATGTTGGAGGTCAGCTCGGCTGCCATTGAGGCTCAAAATGATGTGGACTTCGCAGAAATATTTGCGAACTCTGATCAATATAGGTAAGTTGCATGTAGTTGTGTTTTCTCTTCATTTCTATCGTTGTTATCCACTTGTCTGTGTGGACTAATTTTTTTTTTTTTTTTTCCTTCCCTTTTGTTTCGTTTGTTCAGGAGAAATCAAGAACTTATCAAGGAACTAAGCGTGCCAGAACCAGGCTCCAACGATCTTTATTTCCCTACCCAATACTCCCAAAGCTTCGTAACACAATGCAAGGCATGCTTCTGGAAACAACATTGGTCGTACTGGAGAAACTCACGATACAATGCCATTAGGTTTTTCATGACAATCTGCATTGGAGTATTATTTGGTGTTATCTTCTGGGGCAAAGGAGACAAGATGTAAGTTCAGGAACTTTGTTATTAGCTTGATCTTTCTTACACATTTTTCTTTGAAATGTGATTCAGTTGCATGTTTTCTCCAAACACTGCTACTTGTATAGTGTTTAACTTTATATTCTTGTGAACAGACACCAACAACAAGACCTGATCAATCTTTTGGGAGCTACCTATTCCGCCGTCCTTTTCCTTGGAGCTAGCAATGCATCTGCTGTGCAATCCGTGGTTGCGGTTGAACGAACAGTTTTCTATCGTGAAAGAGCAGCTGGAATGTATTCAGAGTTGCCTTATGCATTTGCTCAGGTAAGATATTGAAAGATATACATGTTTATTATGTGCTTGATTTTGTACAATCATTAGAATTTCATATCTTTGTTATTGACATATATTGTAAATTGGTGTGTTGTAGGTGGCTATTGAGACAATTTACGTTGCAATCCAAACCTTCGTCTATTCCTGCCTTCTGTTTTTCATGATTGGGTACACTTTCAAGGTGGAGAAGTTTTTGTACTTCTACTACTTCATCTTCATGTGCTTTACCTACTTCTCTATGTACGGAATGATGGTTGTTGCCCTGACTCCTGGCCATCAAATTGCTGCAATTGTTATGTCATTCTTCTTGAGTTTCTGGAACTTGTTCTCGGGCTTCCTCATTCCCAGGCCGGTATGTCATTTGAAACTCGATTGTTCTTCTCATTTCGAGTTCTTTTAAACGCTGTTTACCTTGTTACAGATCATCTCTATTACTGCTGTATACCTAATATAAATCTTACTACTGCAGCTAATTCCTATTTGGTGGAGGTGGTACTACTGGGGTTCACCCGTTGCCTGGACAATTTACGGTATCTTCACATCTCAAGTAGGTGACATGAAGACTGAGGTCAGTAGTCCAATTCAAAAACCACAAAGAATTGATGTATTCCTCAAGAGCTACTTAGGTTTTGACTACGATTTTCTGATCCCTGTTGTCATCGCTCATCTTGGTTGGGTCCTCCTCTTCTTCTTCGTCTTTGCCTACGGCATCAAGTACCTTAACTTCCAAAGGAGATAAGCAATTTAACTGTACCTTCAAAATGTCAAATAGATAGTTGAGTGTACAACATTACAGCTGAAGTTAGAGAGACAAATTTTGTCCTCTCTCTTCGTCTTGTTTTTGTTTTTGGTTTCATACATTTTGTTTAATTTGTTTGGCTTTCGATACATTTTTCATATTACTTTTGTATAGCTACATTTTATTCTTGACTATATAATGGAAGAAGCTTTGTGATTGTTCTTTAATATTGACATAACGAATACAAAATTTATTCAACCCAAGAACTCGATAGATGCGGAATTGGGATGAACAAAGAAACAACAGATTTACAGACAATTCTGATAAACTTGAGCTCTGAAGTTGCCACTAGAAAGTAGCAATTTCAATGCCTTCTTTATTTGTACAATGAAAGAATAAATAATATACTTTTATTTTTTTTGAAAACTCAGATCATACCCAGTATATGTTTCATAAGCTTGAGTTAGTCTGAGATTGCCACAAGACAGTAGCACCAACATTCTCATCATTGCAGTAGAGAAAAGGGTGCTGCTCAAACCCTTATTCTTTCGAAACCTGTCTCGCAAGCAACACGAGCTTTTTGTTGCTTAATTCAGCCTCCTGATCCTTCAACACCATTTGAACCTCCTTCCCTCCCATCCTCTCACACTTTGTTTCTGTCTTATTATCTCTATAAATTAAAATCAATAGAAGATATTGACGTGACATAATTATAACCATTCAAGTAGGATGCTTCAAACATGCTGAGGACTTGAGTGCCTCCAACATGTTGACTGAAATAAGGCCCAAATATATTGTACGACTAAATTTTGAGAAGATATTTTCTAGGCTTTGTGTTGTGACACAAACCTCTATAAATATTTACGCACATCGGGTGTGCTAGTTCAAGTGTGCACTTTTATTCAAAAAAATAAGTAAATAAATAGAGTTTTCAAAAGTGAGTTTTTAAAAGGACTTTTAAGAAATAGTATTTTCGCAAGAGAGGAGATATTAGATTTCTCATTCCAACATCAAAATTGGCCTCTAACTAGAGTGTGCTCGCTTATCGGTTCTCTGTCAATTTCATCACTCATCTTGTTTAGAAGGTGTCGAGAGTTGGAGGCCATTTATTTTGGTGGCTTGGAGATCATCAAGGAGAGATCGTTTGGGTGAACAACCGTACTGAAGGTCAAGGTAGAGCTTAAAAAGGTGATGATCTTGTTCCTCATATCTCCTTTTATTTGATCCATCAGAAAATAATTTTTAAAGATTCATTGTCTGGAATTTTGATTTGTATTTTGTTTTAAACCTTGACGGTATGAGGGGAATTTTATTGATATTGAAAAAATTGTACACCGAGTCATGAGGGACATAAACCTAACCCCTCAAAATACAAGAAAACAAGACAAAAAAAAATACATGAAAAGAAGGGAGTGTTGTAAAATCAGAACTATGTGTGCAGTGGAATAAATGAAATAAGACATAATATTTATGAGGTTCCTCAACAATCAGTGAAACTGGAGTACGTCTTAGGGGCAGCAGTAGTACTTTCTTTATTCTCTAGAATAATAGGAGTACAAGTATAACTCTCCCTATTGTCTCCCTATTCTTTCCCTCTTCTTCCTCTCTTTCCTTGCCTCATAACTTCATCTTATTGATGTGTTTTTGTCATACTTTGGCCTTCATTGTATAGACAAATGAATAGGCAAAATGTCAAATCAAAACTTGCCACACTTACTACATAAAGGACACCACACTTACTATTTCACCTAAAACATCCACTTTGGGTGGCATGTTTACGCATCCACAATTAGAGTTTCATAACACTCTCCCTAGATGCTAATATATCAACATCATTTGCCTTCTTAAAATCTTGATCTGTTTTTGGATGCTCCCCCTGATTTCAAATTCTTTAGGATGATGCGTGTTGATGCAATACTTGAACTTCTGTAGGCTCATCATTGATTCTTCTGCTTGAGTCTCTTACATAGCAGAAGTGGAGTGCAACATTTGCCTTTAAATGATCTTTCAAAACATCACTTCTTAGCAGCTTATCCATGCTTGGCAGCTTCAGTGTAATGAGCCAACATTATATCAACTATTCTGAGGTATTTGTTGTGGAAATCCGAGACCTAACAACATTTGAAGATGACTACTCAAGAGGAATGCAATGTAAGCAATCAGGGAAAGGTTTCAGGCAATCAATTTCAGATCGGACATTTGATTTTAGGTTCCGACGATTGCTCTCTTTCTCTTTGTCTTGCAGGTAAGAGCAAGGGCAAAGGAAAAGACAAGGAAAAAGCATAATATAAGATACTTTTGCTTTCAATTCTGATAATATGAGATACTTTTACTCTTGAAGAATTTGATGCTGATATAAAATTTCTCGATCAAAACTATTTTCTTGTTGAGGAAATAAGTTGAGCATTTTAAGAGACTTGGTTGAAGAGGTATTCTCGGAGAAGAAGAAAGATGAGTATTCAAAAGGCTTTATTGAAGATGCATTCTCAGAGAGGAGGAAGAGTGAGGCATCCTTGCAGGTCTGCCTTGCCATGGAAGACGGAGGTCGACATATATAGGGATTTTCCAATAGTAGGTAGTGGTGTTGTTGGGACCATTTCCTTTACGCTTGTCGGCAACAGTGGTGTAGTTGAAATAGTAAAATTCACGCATTTCAACTTTGTCAGAGATCCTTGACAAAGTTACCCGTGATATCCGAAAAACTGAGATTGCATCTGAGAAATGCCAACAAACTTTGTTCAGGGAATCTTGACTTTTGAAATTTGAAGATAGGTATACATTGCTTTTTCAGAAGCATCAATTATATCTAAAAAGCGCTCTCAGAAAGTTGCCTTCTTATGAAAATTGCCTCTAAGATTTCTCTTTATCTAACCTCATTTTCTTTCATCATTTCTGAAAATGGCTTGCCCATCTTATCGTTATTTTGATTTGAATGTTGCAGAAGATGCAGATGTGGCTTCTCAGACTAATCTTTGGCAACCATCCTCCTCTAACGGTCCTCTTACAGTTGGGGACTCTATGATGAATAATGATATAACCGCTAGCTAGGAATATTCTCACTCCCAAGGATAAAAGGATACTTTCATAACAATTTGATGAATTGGCTATTTAAGACTCTCTGGCTTTCAGTATTCAGTGTGCAAGCTTTGTATCCAATATGGGTCAACATCTACTTGCTCGAACTCGCTAAGTTGAATCATTAATGGTTGAGGTGGCAAACCTTAAAGAAGAAATTAGAGAGGATCAAGCACGAGAATAGAGAGTTGCACATGCTTGCAAATAATTAATCGACGAGCATGAAAAGAAAATTATACCAGCTATAGGAATCTGAAAGTCAGATTCAAAGTGACCATTAGAGGTTTATGGCTTTATTCCAAAGGCACCTATGAACTCCACCATCTAGAGTTCTACCAAGTACTGAGGCTCCAAATGATCAACCTCTGATGCTTCCCCTTTCTGGAGTTCGGCCACGTATTGAAGTTCCACATGATCAGTCTCTAGTGCCTCCCCCTTCTGGGGTTCTGTCAAGTATTGAGACTTCACATGAGCAACCTTTGTGAAAGCTCATTTCCTTCTTCATTTTTTTTTTAATTGTTTTGTGGTTGTAACTCACCTTTTAAAAGATAAGAGTATTGGCATATTATTCGATCTGCAGCTCGAGACAATATTTCATTTAAAACTTAAATTCAGGAGTCACAATCTAATATCATTAACTATTGCCAGTGATTTAGTATGTTGCAATAATATCATAATTAAAGAACTCATTAAGGCAATTTATATCATCCATTGGTATTGAGTACATAATTTGGGTTTTACCCTTCCAGGGCTTACTTCAAGCAACTTGAATACTTCATGGATTTTCTACACTTCCTGACACATTACCCTTTTGGAACTTATATAGAGCAATTTTCTCCTATGTATACTTGAGGGAATTACTTATGGAGATATGATGTGGGCATCTCACAGCCCTTCATTTATAATTCTCCATTCATATGAACTCATTTATAGAAGTATATCATAATTTCAAGTTTCAATTAGTAACCTTGTGTCATATCATGTAAGTGTTTTCATTGTATTATATATATATATATATATATATAGGTCCACTTTTCCATGTTCTTACAAAATTGTAATGGAATTGCCTTTACGAATAATTTTTCCTTTCGTCAACTAACAAAAGAATGTGACTCAATATCAACATACCTCATCGATGAATCTAGTATATTGTAGCTACTTGTAAAAACCAAAATTACTATTGGTTATCATCAATCCATGATCCCATATTCTCATGCGCATGCATAAAAGCTTTTCATTTCTTTGGATATATATTGCCTCTTTAAGGGCATTACACTGCCTTTTCTAGGACAGTCATAGTTTAGAGAATGCGGATCATAACCTCCTCTTAAGCATTATAGAGCTTGGATTTTAATTTCCACTTCTGAAAGTTGAGTCATTGGACCTATATGTCTATCACACTTCATGCATAAGACATCAAAATTACCATGTCCCCCGCATTGTCCTTTCAGGACGTGTATCCATGCGGCGACTATCATTCTTCCAGTATGCAATAGTTTAGTAGTGCCATATTCTTCCTCTTTTGAATGACTAAATCTTTTGAATCTGAGGATCTGCCTCGCTTTACGAGTGCAATAGATGAATCATTTGCTGCCACATTATTCTGTCCAACAGGGGCATCAATTCTTGCAGGCACATTTGCAACTGTTATGTGATTTTATCACTTTCATTGCATCATTAAATGCATCTAGTATTTGATTGGCAATACTTTGAAGATGAACAATTATTCTCACTTCATTTTCACATTGATTGCTTTGTGAATCAAACTAAGACAAGGTGGGTACATCTTCGTCAATTCTCATTGTTCTTCTGGAATGGTCTTTTATCCCCCTAATGATGGGAAAACTATCTTATCAAAGTGACAATTCGCAAACTTAGCAGTAAACATGTTCCAAATATCGAATGATAGATGGTGAATTAAATCTAACATAAATTCCCAGTTTGCGCTAAGGCCTCATTTTAGTACATTGTGACAGTGCAATAGGCATATAGACAACATAACCAAAAAAACTCGTAAATGTGTAATGTTTGGCTAGTGCCCAAACATGAGTTGTACTGAGGAGTAATGATGATTGGCAACAAGTCTCAATCGAACTAATGATGCATCATGTAAAATGACATGTCCTCATGTAGAAAATGGCAATTTCATTTT